TTCTTTTTCTTTCGTTGCTAGGGACTTGGACTTGCTATTGGTGCTATATTAATGGACTTAAAGAAAGCTACTACTTTGGCTTCAGTGACTGTCATGACATTCATGCTCGCCGGAGGATTCTTCGTCAAAGTAATTCCTCTGTTTCTGAGCTCCTTTGTTTTATTGGTTCCCTCTGTTTCTGAGCTCCTCTGTTTATCTCTCGCAGAAAGTACCAGTGTTCATCTCCTGGATACGTTACCTATCCTTCAATTACCACACCTACAAGCTTCTTCTTAAAGTACAGTATCAAGACTTTGCTCCTTCCATCAACGGTATGAGAATAGACAATGGACTTACTGAAGTGGTTGCACTCGTTGTCATGATCTTCGGTTATCGCTTCCTCGCTTACCTGTCTCTAAGGCAAATGAAGATCGGAACATAACCCATTTTCCACAAGAAAAACATAACAAAGAAGAAACACACTAAGACATATAGAATGCTTCGATATCTTGAAGAACTTAGACACGACAAATCCTTGACAACAATTAAGATACAACAATTAAGAGATTGGTCTTAAGATTCCTCTTGCTTAATTACAAAGGTGTTGTGTGTTTGATAATATGATTGGTATGTGAAAGAAGTCTTGATTGGAGAAAGAGATATGTTTTAGTATGTACTGGTTAGATCGAAATTTAATATGGTTCATGTCTATTAACAAGAAGAACCTTATGGTTTGATCAAATCTTATTAACTCCCTGATCCAATTGTATATGTTTTAGTTGTGATTAACTACTACAAATCTGTAGGTGGAGAATCTATCAAATTCATAGAGATATCAAATATCTTTTGTCACACAAAAAAATACTCTAATTAAGGGCTTTGTTGATAATAAACGATAAATTTAGGGTTTTGTTGAGTAAAAAAACAAAAACAATTTTTTTAGGGTTTATCACACGTCTCTTAAGCTCAGGCCTCCTCTCTGTGAGGCAACTTCTCTTCACACGCACGTGTCTCTTTCCTCTCTCTAAGTTTCTCTCTAAACATGTATACGGAAGAGTCAGAGATGACCAAGAAGACAGTGATGTGTCTATTAACAGACCAAGAAGGAACTCCTTTATGTTCTGCTATGTATATCCCTCACAATGCAGGGCCTTTGCAGCTTACCCACCTCGTCAATAAGCTTCTCAACAACGTAACTCTCTAAATTTCTCGGATCTGTTACTGTTCAAAGAAATGATTTCCTCT